GAGGCTTTCTACCCCGGTGAAGACCTAGAGTCGCAGAAATTCACAGGGACAAGTTCTACCCTGTCTTAAACAGAAATTCAAGGACAAGTTCTACCCTGTCTCATGAGGTCAGCATCAACTGGATGGCAGTGAGCTTGTTTTTCTGGGCTTATTTTGAGCAGTTCACTCTAACGTGTCAACGCCTGATACTGGAGCCTCATTTGTCTTTTTTTTAAAAAACCATGTTGGATCTGTGGTGGGGGAGGTGTCTGTGGTAGAGGGCACAGAGATCGGACTGATGGGAAAATTAATTTAACTTGTATGCGATTGGCATCCTGGAGGAGGGTCCAGCAGGCATCCAGCTGTGTGCCTCCTAGGTAGCGAAACCTTGGAGGGGTGGATAAATGTTTAAGGTGTAGAGTAGAGGGGCAGGTGGGGAAGGGGAAGGTGGGCAGAGGTGCTTGGGGAACAAAGGAGCTAGGGAGAAACACCTGGCTTACAAAACACAATCCATTTCCATGGGCCGTAATGACCAGGACAGCAAACACTCCTAGGACAAATGCACCGACCAAGGGCTCTCAGGGACAGAGCCACGGCAATAATGCAGAATGTTCACACAAGCTCTCAGTGAAGGGCCTGTCAACGCGCTTCCATTGATCCAGGCTCTTCTGCTGGCAACCGAGCTGGAAACGTAAGGACAGACACACCTGGATGGGTAAGCACGTGCAGGTAGGGACATGCTGGCTCCAAGACAGGAAAGACCATATGGGAGCCACGGAGAAGCGATGACATGGCATTTTTTATTAACAAACATCACCACCTCGGAGCCCAAATCCAAACACATCAACACAGTGTTCTGATGTTTAAGGGGAGGGAGACGTGTGGGTTTCAGAGATAACGGAGTCAGCATCTAGTCAGGATTGACCTCTGTTCCGGACTCGTGTACAAGCCTTGTAGTGGTGCCGTGGCCCCCACCTGGAGGGTGACTCTGGGTGAGCCTACCACCGTATTTCTATTCTCCTCGCCAGAGACCGCTTTAGCTGTAGGCATGTGTAGATCGAGATGATGGTGAAAACAAAAGGTGATGGGAACCAAGTTTCTTTCCCTTAACACACACACACACACACACACACACACGCACACACGCACACGAGCGCGCGCGTCCACAGGGACAGACACATTTAGATAAAGAGAGAGCAAGGGAGAGAAACATCCTTAAGCCTTTGGATGGAGTGATGAGAACAGGGGACCCCTGGTGCTGTTGCAACCATCTGGCCATTGTGAGGCCAGACCGGGCAGAGAAGGAGGAGGGGTCCCCACAATGCTGGGGTCTCTCTCCAGTGAACCGGCCCCGAAACAGCCTTACCTCTGAAGAGCTAGTGATGCAGTAGAACCCCCCTCCCTAGAGCGTAAGCCTCCTTAAGGAGGTAGGGCAGGTATGGCCTGCGCCCTGGCCTCGCTGGTCAGTCTCCACTGGCCATGACCCAGCTGCCAGAGATCTTGCAGCGAGTGAAGAATTGCCACAGGCACCGTTTTCTGCAGTAGGGCCTCTACTCGTGACTCCCGCAGGGCGGAATGGCACTGTCAAAGACCACCGACGTGCTTAGGGAATGGAGGAAGTGTTCTTTAATCTGTAGGTCGGGATGCAGAGCTGGGACCGGGTCATGTGTACCTTCGGGGAATGGTCATGGCTACGCACAGGCCAGGGGCAACTGCGGGCCCCACTTCTGTCTGATATCACAGGAGTTCAGGTCGCCCCCCCACCCCACCTCCCCAGACATCGCTCTGCCAGCTTGCTTGCCCGCCTGCTTTATCCCTACCAAGTAGAATCCCTGCCAGAAGGCACTGGCTGATGGATGGGTCCTGAGACGAAGGAGCCACTGGCTGACTGTGTGGGCATGCCAGAGCCCTGCTGGGGGAGGCGGTGGGGTGGATTATTCTGTGTTAAAGTTGGCTGCGTTGGCCTCCAGTGGCTCTGGGATCCTGAACCCTCCCAGACAGATAGGGCACAGGTCAGCTGGAGGGGGGAGGCTGGAGCACTGGGGAGGCATGTGAATGGGGTGGTGGGGTGTGGGACAGAGGGCCTGCCCAGTCCACCAGGAGAAGCAGTGACTCTCCGGCAAGTGCCCCACTTGCTTGATGGGGTGATCTCTGGTGAGTGAGGAGAAAGCAGCGACACTGACAGCCCCCCACCCCCACCCCACTCCAGGTACATCTGGCCAGGGAGCAGGACTCTGGTCTGCAGGCTGCCACCTCCAAGGGGAGACAGCAGGGGAGCGTCTCCTCCCCATGCTGCTTGCAGAGAGACACCAGGAGAGGAAATCGCACAGGGAGGTGTCAGGGTGGCCTGGGCACCCATGGGTGGGTCTCACACCTGGGGCCAAGACTCTGGTGTATACGTCCTATTTCCAGATTTTGTCTACTCGCTTCTGACTGGTGGTGACCTGCCCTGTGCGGGGCAGGACTGCTCCCTGGGGTCTTCTGGACTGTGCCACCTTTTAGAAGCAGGTAGCCAGGGCTTCCTCCCCAGGCACCTGGGGGGAGGGGAGGGGGGGTTGAACTGCTGACCTTTCAGCTGGTAGTTGAGTTCCTATCACCACCCAGGGACGAGGCCTTCTATGCTTAGGCTGCACTTCCACCCCAGCCACCTGGGGAGCCCCACTCTTCCCTGCAGGAGGGTCTCCCAGGAGTGATTCTCTTCTTGGGGCAGTCAGCACTTTGGATCTCATATGGGACCTTCTGGGGAGATGAACTGAACCCAGCTCAACTTTCTGTAAAGCCAGATGCTGCCTGAGGCCAAAGCAAAGCCACGGCCATCAAGTCCACTCAACGCAGAGGGAGACTGTAAGTCCTGCCGGGAGTGGGAACCTAAACCCAAACCCAAACTCCCTGCCACCGAGTGGATGCCCACCCACAGCGGCCCTGCAGACAAGACGGAGCTGCCTCTGAGTCTGAAAGACGCGCACTCTGTCCGGGAGGAGAAAGCCCCATCTTTCTCCCTCAGTTGAACCTCTGGCCTGGCAGTTAGCCGCTCTATGTGTAACCGCCACCCACCAGAGCTCCCACATGAGAGTAAAAGCCTCCTCTTGCTCCAGTGGAAGTGGCTCATAATTGAACTATGGACCTCGTGGTGAGCAGCCCAATGTGGACTCCTTCTGACTCAAAACACCAACCCAAATGCTCCGACATGGAACAGATTCTGACTCATAGTGTCCCCACAGCTATGCTTTGTAGGGTTTCTAAGACTGGACATCTTTACAGGGGCAGCCAGCCTCATCTTCCTCTAAAGCTTTCCCCCGACAAACAGCTGGTGGGGTTTGAATCACCAACCTTCTGTTTAGCGGCCCAGTGCCTTACCACTGGGCCACCAGGAGTCTCTAAGCACTTCCTCAAACTCAGAACTCAGACTCACCACCATCGAGTTGATTCCGACACCAGGTGACCTGGTAAGACAGAGTAGAACTGCCCGCTGGGTCTCTGAGACAGTAAATCTGTACAGGAGTAGAGTGCCTCATTTTCCTCCCAGGGAGTGCCTAGTGATTTTGAACAGCCGACCATCTGGTTAGCAGTCCCACATGTAACCACTGCACCCCAAGGACTCCTGCCTGGTGCTTCCTAGCAAAGCTAATTTTTAATCCCAAGGCCAAGGACCGTATGGGGTTGGTTGCTCCCTCCCTGCCCACCCTTAGGCCACGTCCTTGGCTCCATTGTTGTTAACGCGTGTTTGACTGATGTTGCAGGAGAACTCTGCATCGTGGGTTGTCAGGGATTCCTTTTTCAGAAGGGGATTCCCCAGGCCTGTGTTCTGGGGTACCTGCGTGGACTGAAATCACCAAGCTCGCAGCCGAGGGTGCCAACCAAGGCCCCGCTGCTCCCCTTTGCCTGCTGTCAGTGTTTGTGCCTTTCTACCTCTGTCCTCTCTCAGCCAGGACCTCAAATCCTGTCTCGAACATCCCGGCAGCCGGCACGGAGGTGGCAGCCAGACCAGTGTGCTGCTGGCAGCGGGGTCTCAGGCTTCAGGTGGTCTGGGAACCCTGGATTGGCCCTCAACAGTGGTATCTTTCCAAACCCCAACGGGTCATAACGTCCGGGCTGAAAATCAAGAACCAGCGTTCCCAGGTTGCGCCTCTCATGGCCACCCACTGCATACACTGTGGGCGACATTGGATGACACAGGGCCCGGCAGCAGTTCATTCTGTTGTGGGTGGCATCAGGGGCAGTGAGCATCCCCCCACCCCAAGTCTCATCTCCTATTGGAAAGGAAAGGAGGCACCGAACACCAGCCACCAGTTCCTGGCTCCCTCCCCAGATGCTCCGGATCAAGGCATCCTCCCTCGCAGGTGGCCAGGAGCCTCATTAGGCTTTGGGCTGCAACCAACGGAGTTGTATGCCGAAGGCCAACCCCCACTCCCTGCCCTCCCTCCCAGGCCAAGAGGTCCCAGAGGGTCCACTGGTGCATGATGCCCAATTACACCTCTCTCCAGCTGTGACGAGGATGGACCCAATTTAAAAACCTGCACCTGTTTGAAGCTCTACCCATCCTTCGGATTGAATACAACACCAAGCACTGAAAGGAAAACATCTCCTCTCGAAGCCGACAAACGCTGACCAAACCAGGCGGGTGCGGGGACCAGTTAGATGGCCGCACGACCCCGGACCTCACCACGCTCACAGCTCCACATCTCATAAGCCAGAAGGTCCTGCCTGGCCCCTCCAGTGCAGCCAGTGTGCCACGCACGGGGTGGGGAGACGTGTGTGCAGGGGACTTCAGCGTGCCCTTCTGACACTTCATTGACTGCTGTCCCAGTACCATCACCATGTCTTCGTGCCCAGTCCCTTTCTCTCCCTGTATTCACGGCGCTCCTTGGGCTTCCGCCCTCTGGGGTCCCCTGTCGTCTTCGGGTGGGGGATTGCTGGGCTCCAAGGAGGAGTTGGGGGCCTCCCACTGCTGGGGGGCCAGGCCCAGCAGGGATGGCCCCATCTTGGTGAGCTGCTCCTTCTTGGGCCTTTCTCTTGTGTCCCCTTCCGGTTCTGCAGCTGCCTGTTCCTTTGTCCGCTTAATTATTTCCCTTCCAGGCCTGCTGACTGCTGCTTCCTCCTCGGAAGGTAGCGGGGCTAATGAAGGATGAAAGCATGTGTGGGGGTTCTGATCTGCTGGGCAGTTGACAGCCAGCCTCCCCGCATCCTCCGGCGCTGTCAACACCTCGGCGGAGGCACACCTTTCATCTCGCCCCTTCCGAAGCTCACCTGAAAACAGAGTGGGATGGTCAAACCTCTGGCAGGAAGTCAGCTGGCCTGTGCCCTCCCTTCCCAGCTCCCCGCCACTCATTGTCACAGGGCCTCCTTGGAAACCAGAAAACCCATCTCCGCCCCGTCCCCTGCCCAGGGTCTCCCCAGGCTGCGGGTACAGGAGCCCAGGGCACACAGGGCTAAGTGAGAGGAGAAAGCTGGTGGCTGGCCTGTCCTTCGTTATGAGGAGAGATTAAAGATGCCTTTGGGCGGGGCTTCTCATTCATGCCTTCCACCTGGTTATCTTTGCTCCGGTACCTAAGGCACTTCTCACACCCCTTACATACTTACTTAAACTGTGGACGAAGGCTTTGCCAGTACAAGGAGGGCCTCTGGGCTCTGTGCACACGGGTTCTGACCTCTCCAGGTGGGAAGCTGGGGGGCCAATTGGGAGAGGCCTCCCCGCGACCCCTCCACTCTCCATCAGCACCCAGGCTTTGAGGCAGGTGTTCTATGCAGCCTCCATTTCAAAAGAAAAGATAGATCCTTTTCCCTAAACTCCTCACCGACACCCGCCCATCAGTTTGCCCTACAGTGGTGGTGTGTATGTCGCTGTTTTGCCAGGCACGCTCTGCCACTAGTATTCCAAATACCAGCAGGCTCACTCATGGTCCGCACGTTTCAGCAGTACTTCCGGTTGAAGAGAGACCAGGCAGAAAGGCCTGGCAATCCCCTTCCAAACGCCAGCCAATGAAAACCTTAGGGATCGTGTCTGATACAGTGCTGGAGGTTGAGCCTCCTAGGTTGCCAGGGACTTAAACTATACAGTGGGCACAGCAGTACCCTTGAGTGGACGACAATCACACAGACTGGATAGCGCAGGGCAGCCTTTTGTTCTGCTGGATACGGGCTTGATACCAATTCACTGGCAGCAAGCAGCACCAACTAACCCTCCTAGGCGCCTTGCTGTCTTTCCAGGCAGGGGACAGTCTCTCCCCTTGGTCGACAGAGCGGCATTAGCGAGCACTCCCCCAGCATGTCTGAGCTGGGCATTGCACTGCTCATTTTGTAGACATATCCCAGCAGCAGGAGCCCTGGTGGCAGAGTGGTTACGAGTTGGGCTGCAAAGGACAAGGCCAGCGTTTGGATCTATCGGCTACTTGGAGGAAGAAAGGCGTTAGTCTCGGAAACACACCGTTCCAGTTCTACCCTGCCCTGTAGGGACTCTATGAGTAAAGTCGACTCGCTGGCGATGAACTTGGGCTTGGGATCCTTGAGGCCCGTTCCTGAGAGCTCCCTGCCATGGGGTCTGTTCCGACTCATGGGGACCCTACAGGACAGACGGGAACTGCCTGCTGTGGGCTTCCAAGGCTGTAAATCTGTCCCCTCTGAAGCTGTAAATCTTTACAGGAAGAGAAAGCCTCATTTTTCTCTCAGGGAGCGACTGGTGGGTTTGAACCACCAATCTTTTGGTTAGCAGTGAACCAGGTAACTGACTAAGCGCCTGTTCATGAGAGCAGGGGTCACATTTGATTGGTTCACCGTGTTCCACTCCATGTGTGGCGCATGCAAGATTATAGTTTAGAAGTCCATTTCTTTTCCTAATGTTTTTCCTTTTAATGAAAGGATCATTGGCTTCCCTAAACTCTATTGCCTTTGAATTCAATCCTATAGGGGCAGTTCTACTCTGTCCTGTCACAGGGAGGTTGGAATTGATTCAAGGGCATCTCATACCCACAACAGCATGTACAGAAAGAAGCACATCGCAGGTGAGGACACAGCTCAGCAGCCAGCACGGGCATAAAGCATCGCCCACTATCCACAGGCGACTCGCCCCCTATGGCCGGGCACTTCTCCCTGGCCTCGGCGAAGCACTACCCCACAGCGGTGTTGGGGTTCGAACTTGTGCAGACAGAAGCATCCGTGTCTGTCTTCTTTTCCTTGGCATGGTATATTTGTGAGATGTGGCCTTGGTATTGGGGATAGCCTATTATTAGTTCATTTGAATGCACCACGATTTTCTAAGGTACTTTTAAAGCGTTGAATGAAAATAGACCATTCACGGAAAAAGAGCTACAGGTGGACAGCAAACTTATTTTAAAATCCATATGATGGCTCGTAACTATGACTGTTGGGACCCCGTGTACAACAGAACAAAACACTGCCTGGTCCTGGGCCATCCTCACAACTGTTCCTACGCTTGAGCCCACTGTGGCAGCCGCTGTGCCAATCCATCTCCTTCAGGGCCTTCCTTTTTGCCTGCTGCCCCTCTACCAGGCACGATGTCCTTTCTCCAGGGACCGGAGTCCTTCTCCAAGGACCCACAATCGTGAGATGCTGTTTGCATGGCTCCACTGAACCGAGTACAAGGTATGATGAAACGCAGCACTGGCGGGGATGCGCACTCCTTCTACATGAACTCACTGCCCCTAAGGCTCCTATGTGGTCTCCCGAGTTGCCGTTCTCAATGTGACCCCTTCCATCAATAGATCGTGGTGCTCAGGACAGACAGCCTTTCCTGGTCAACCGAAACTATTGTTTGATTGAAGGAAAGCCTCTGGGGGTGGTTTGGGTTTGGTTTCAAGATTATCTCAGGGCAACAGTTTTGGGGGTTCATCTGTCCTCAGAAGTGGTCCTTGCCTCTGCCCACTATCCTGCTTTTCCAAGGCAGACCTCACCAGCCAGGGCTGGGGTTGCTGTGGGCACTGAATCTATCTCAGATCTCTGTCCCCCCCAGGTTCAGCTGCATGTGACTGTCACAACAAGGGATAGCAAAGTATCTAGAAAGCCGCTGGACACCACTTCTGATCCATCGTGAGCCCCAACGGTTATGTGGTGCTTGTTTACCCACGTTACAGCAACTTCCGAGAATTTCTTTATACCATCAATTATTGTGATTGTGAACACACAAATCTAAGTAGACTTCAATTCATCACAAGGTCTGAGCTACCAAAAATGCAGTGTAAGATTTCTGTAACACGTGACTGTTACAAAGGAATAGGCTATTGTTATTTTCACATGGCTTTTAATGTCCTTTATTATAAGCATCTCCACGTTGGCGTTGGCGTGTGAGTGACCGTGTCTACACACACAGCCACTCCTCACTCATCAATGGGGTCAGGTCCCAACGGCCCGCCCGCTGGTTTTGCAAAGTCAGCGTCAGGTGAGGAGGAAGGCCGGAAGCAGTCCTGTAGCTGGGCCTCAGGAACTGCTGCGCCCTGGCACTGCCTGTTCTACATGCCAAGGCCCTGTCCTCAGGGCTGCCACGGGGCTGGACACGAGGCACAGTTGGCAGCACAAGGACGTGGGCAGGAGGTCAGGACAGTCAGCGGGAGCGTCTACCCAGGCCGTGTCCTCTGCAGCCCCCCCCTCTCCAGCGCCAGCCACCTACAGGTCAGGAGGTTCACACGGAACTGAGGCGCTGCTCTTGGACGGCTTCATGTGCAGGACTGAGAGCCTGGGGGCCAACAGTTGCTCAGAAGAGGGCAGAGGAACTGAGCCTCTAGGGCTGCCGGGGAGGGAGGGGTCGCTGGTTTCTGCTGAAGCCCCCAGACCCTTCATTACCTCCAGTACCCAGCCTGCTCCAGGGCCCTGGAGGGGACCCTCCTGGACCCATCTGGCTACTAACAGACCTTTCAAAGCCCACCCCTGTGGTCCTTTTCACAGAGAGAGTCACAGTGGAGACCCCAGCAGTGGGGAGAGGACCGGCCAGAGGCTCTGGCTGCCTCAGCTGGGAGCCTGAGCAGCCAGGAGCCAGCTCCATGCAGGGAGGGGCCCTGGTGAATGAGCTACACAGGCAGAGGGTAGACATTGTACTGCTGCTGTAAATGCAAACTGTTAGATATCAAGACAGCTGATAAGTGAGGAGTAGACCTGTGTGTGTGTGTGTGTGTGTGTGTGTGACACACACTGTGCACACACACACACACACACACACACACACACACGGCTTCAAAAAGGCTGCCGAAAAGTGGAATGAAAAGGTACTGGAATTTTCCACAATTTTTTTGAAGTCTTCACATGTATCCATGTGATAGGTATCTCACTATAGAGAGATGTATAATCATGACGATGGTCCATAAGCTCTGTACAGTCATTGTGCAAAAACATTATCAAACCCAGCAGACACGTGTAGGAAGGCAGGGACTGCAGGTATCAGAATCAGCAAAAAGTACGGGAAGGGAAGGTATGTCTAACCAGCACTGCGTCGAAATCAGCTTCAGGGGGATGGCGATTCTGATTGCCCTGCTGTGTCAGAGGAGCTATAATGCTAGGGCCTTCGCCACTGTTGTGTGCCATCAAGTTTGCTCCAATCCACAGTGACCCCTGGAAAGCACTCCCTGGGTCTGTGGCATGCTGACAGTCACTGCCAGGCATTGGCCCACTGTGGCAACCACTGGGGATTCTCTCACTTAGACGTCTTCCGCCATTTAGCGGACCTACTTGTCTGAGCATGCTGTCCTTCTCCCGGGAATGGTCCCTCCTGATCACATGTCTAAAGCACACAAGACGCTACGTCTTCCAAGACAGATCTTTCCCACACTTCTGTCCGACTATGCGGTGTAGTTCATTACGTGAGATGGCCCTTCTTAGCCAAGGTCCTCCACTTTGCGAGGTACTGTAAATTCTAGCCTCTGTATCTGTAGTCATGGTCCCATTTTGGAAGGAGTGACCTGTTATATGATAATTCCAAGGCGGGATTAAGGCGGGGTATATTTTAATTCCTTAACTTCCTGACTGAACATGTGCAGAAGCCAATTAGTGCTGGGTCTCCACGGACACAGGACTCGAGTCCTCTTCCTGACCTTGGCTGAGCAGCTCTGAAAAAGTTCACGTTCTCCTCTGGATCCTGGGTTTGGCTTGCTTCCACCGACTTCCGGGTCTTGGGACTTGGGCCAGCAGTCTATCGGCTGACCTGATTCACCAGCTCCTGCGGCCTTGTGAGTCAATAGCCTAATGTGGTGTGAATGCGGAGGATTCTCTAGATAGATACCTGGACTGTGGATTTGAGCCTTGGCAGCTCCGCAAGCCCGTGAGCTTTTTCTCGACAGATTGTGGCTCTTGGGGGTTATCGCAGCGAACGTTGGAACCCTGAGACACGAGGGAGCAAGTCCAGGGAAGGAGTGGTGGTCGATAGCAGAAGTACTAAGTGGCATAGCCTTTTGGAAAAGTCCAACAGAAATTATTATTACTTATGGCAACCTGGAGTCCCGAAACTTCAGGACATTGGGGTCAGGCTACGGGATTTGATTGTGTGTGATCAGCTGCCTGTATCAATTCTTTCCTTTCCCTTTCTTTTAAGTTCAAGGGATATGCAAGAATGTCCACTCAAGTCATTATCAAGAGGCGAAGAGCTGAAAATGCTGCCACTGCGGAGCTCTACCTAGGGCTTCTGGTTACTTAATGTGGGGACAACCTTTTCCCTACCCCGGGATGGCACAGTCGAGGGAGCTCGGGAGCTGTGGGAGTTCTATGTGCCTCTGGGAACAGACACACAGGCCTGCCATTTCCAGAAGAGATTTCTGGATGAGCCAAGAGTAGGAAACTGTTATTATGAATGATCATAATTATTCTCTGCTGTTTTAGCAAACATCATTATTATCATGAATACTTATTATTAATCACAACATGCATACTAATATCAATAATGGTGGGGAGATTGATTGGCACAAATGCATTAGGACACAACCCAGCAGGGGGAAAATGTTCCCTCCCAATGATGAAGAAGCAGCAGTTCTCCGTGGAAAAGATTATGAGTTCCCTAAAAATGAGTCTCCTCCCCTCACCCGCTGCCACTGACCCCCGGATGTTTGTCTTCCTGTGTTTGCTGGTCTCTGATGAGCTTTGTCCTACTGAGAGTGAGAAGCTTTCCACTGGAATTAATCGGAGACGCAATGGTGAGGAAGCCATCCCAGCCGCTGACAGCCGCTACATAAATGTCTCCTCATTACCACCCAGCACTGGCTAAGGACAGGGCTGGAACAATGGGAGCTAATGATGGAACTCTGGAAGCTATCATTTTAAATCAGGCCATTACTGACGCCACCCCTGTGACAATCAAGTCAGGCCCGTGCTCCATTTCAGTAAAACAGGGCCAGGCTCGACCCTCAGCTCAGGATGGGCTGGTACACAAAAGACTTCAGCTCGCCATGTGAACTCGGGATGTCGGCATGAAATGACCACCAATAAGAGACACGTTCCAAAGCGCACGGGCCAGTCTGGAAAAGACGCTGTTTGTTCGCTGGCAAGACCCAGCCTGCTTTCTGGCCAGAGGGGAACCCCCATGGAATCAGGGGTTGGCTCCAGGAACTCCTCCCCAGGAGTTTGGAATCCTTTCTGTTGCCATCCCAGCTATATTATAGTTTCTATTCTTATGACTCCATGCACTATAATAAGGGACTTCAATGGGACTCCTGACGATTCTTTGCAAAGATGCCCAGGAGAGGAGCTCTATTCATCTGTTCCCACAGGACTGATCTGTCGAGTCCACCTGGGAGTAATCCTCCCTCAAACTGCAATAGGGTCATCACAGAGAGATGATCTTGGGCTCTACTCTCCATTGATCCATTGTTGAATCTTTCCAGCTGTGCAGATGCAAGAATAAGCCTTGCTGAGCCCTGCTCCGCTTAGCAGACTGACACAATGGCTGAAACAATAGGCTTAAGTAATAAAAAAAAATTCTGAGGATGTTGCAGGACTGGGTGGTGCTTCAGTCTGTTGTACTACAGGAGCTAACGAGAAGGTACCTAACAATACCTAACGGCGTAAAACAAACCCACAAACAAACCTTCGTAGCTAGGGCAATAGTGAACATTATGATAAATGGAGAAAAGACTGAAGTTGTCCAGGATTTCATTTAACTTGGATCCACAAGCAATGTTCATAGAAGGAACAGTCAAGATATCAAAGGGCAAACCTGCCGCTCAAGCCTCCTGTAAGTGTTGAAGACTACGATGTGCTTGGCTCACGTCATAGAACTTTCAGTCATCTCATATGCGTGTGAAAAGTGACAACGAATCAGGAATGCCACCGAAAAGCTGACGTATTAGAATTATGGTGTTGGCAAAGAATATCGAAACTACTATGGACTTCAAGAAGGACAAACAGATCTACATGTCTTACAAGAAGTACAGCCAGAATGCTCCTTACAGGATGGCAAGGCTTCATCTCATGTATTTTGCAGATATTCGTAGAAGATATCAGTCCCTGGAAAAGGACATCAGGCTTGGTCAAGTGGAAGGTCAGCGAAAAAGAGCAAGGCCCTAAGGAGATGGACCGGCACAGTGGCTGCCACAATGGGCTCACACAGAGCAATGGTGCGGATGGCGCAGGACTGCGCAGGGTTTCATTCTGTTGTACAGAAGGTCACCAAGAGTCAGCATCGACTAGATGGCAATACAGAAGATCAGCCGACCAAGCATCTGGCCCAAGACTGGTGGTAAGTAACACAGAGCTGTTGCTGGAAGGTTCCTGTTAGAGCAGCGAGTCACTAAGCAATAATATCTGATCGATCCACTTAGTTAGTCTGATTTGATGAAGGCAGATCAGAAGGCTGCACCAGCCTGAAGAGTTGAGACTCGGAGTGGAAGATCATTGGAAGGCACCGGAGATTTGGGATAGACAGAAATATGATTCTGACAGGCTAGGAAACATGTTCTATAATCTCCATCTGTTTTCAAACATGTTCTATAATCTGCACCCACAGGAGAAGACAGAATCAAGCACGGGGAGCCTGGGAGGGCTAACAAATCAGAGTGGAGTCCAACCAACAAGGTGCAGAAGGCCTGAACGAAGCCGGTGGTGTTGGCCCATGGAAGTGAGAGAACGTTCCAAAGACAGAGTTTCGCGGGAGAGCAGATGCAGATGGGGAAAGGAAGTTTAGAGCAGTAGAGGACTCTCAGGAGGGTGACATAATAGGGAGAAAACAAGAGTGGCTGGTCATGCGAAAATTAAGATGCTCACGGGAAAGCTAGGTTTAGCAGGCTCCAGGAACCTGGTGAGGAACAAGATTTTGAGAGTATTTGGATCGAGACGGTTGAAGGCATGACCCTGAATGAAAGAAACTGGAGAAGACCTGGACATGTTCCCAAGAGAATAAACAATATGTTTCCAAGAGCATCCAGCCACGTGGCTGATAGCCGAAGGCCTCGGCTCCGTGGCACAAGGAGAACATGCAGGGCTGCCGGAGCATCATCGTGCCGTGGAGCCGGCTTCCTCCCGAATGAAGGACCCATGAGAGAGAAGCAGAAGGCCTGGTATGATCCGGCCTTGAAAGGCATGCGCCTTTATTGATGTCACATCCATCAGTCACACAGACTAACCGTGATACAATGTGGGAAAGGACCACACCAGGGCCTGGATGCCAGGAAGTGAGGGTCACCAGGTGCCATCTTAGAAGCTGACTACCACACTGAAGATGGAGGAAGAAGCCAAGCAGAACTTAGACAGCGAGAAGGGTGGCGGTCTTGGGGAAACCAGACTACCGCATGAGAGATAATCTGGCTACCCCATCTTTGGGCTCGTCTGGCACCGGAAGTGGCAGTTTGAGTCCCCTTCAAAACGCCCGGTGTCCAGAAACGGTGTGCCTGCCAGTGGAGAAGCTCTGAGTCACAGAACATGTATGTACCACATAACTGGCAATGTGTGAGACTCTCACTGAAATCAGCACCGCCATTTCGCGTTGTTGCCATTAAGGACGCTGAAGCTTAAGCCCATGTTGTTACAGTCAAAGAGACAGGGGATTAGAATCCCAACCGTTGTTCAACTCATGAGCCCTTACTCTTAGCCCTTACATCCCATGCCCACAGCAAGGGACCGGGATCCTTTTGCTGGAACCACACAGCCAGGCCTACTTGTGGCATCCAGAAAAGGAACCCTGAGGGGACACAAGGATGCTACCAAAGCTGCAGTAAGGGAGAGGGAGGGGTCTGCTTATGTGTCAGGCACCACACCCAAACCACCCACTGCTGTTGAGTCAATGTCGACTCAGAGAGAGTGCGGGGAGCAGGGTAAGCAAAGGAGGAGAAGGGGAGGTGTCCTTACCGCTCTGGGGGTCCTCTGTGCTCTCAGTGGGCTGCTCAGTGAGTCTCGGCAGTGGGGATCTGGCCCTCTGGAGAGTCGGAAGAGTAGGCTCATTGAACAGTATGGTGTCCTTGCCTCCTGTCATGGAGAAAGGGGGGAAATGGACATGACACATCTTCTGGGACATTGACTCCCATACATTGAACTTGGGCTGCCAGGGTCAATAACGTACTTCTTCCTTTGTAAGTAAGACAGTGCATGGGCCAGCAGGGGTGAGGATAGTGAGAGTCCAAGGCAGGCTGTCTCAGGCAAAAGACCTTGACATTTCTTTGAATCTGGTTGGGACATGGCTCCATAAATGCTCCCATGGAGGGGCAGCCTGTTATGCTGGCAGAGAACAGAGAGGCTTCTCTCGGGTTGAGGCAAGGACAGTAATAGCAGCTTGTTTAGGAGTGTGGGCTTCGGAACCAGGCTATGGTGTTTACGTTCTAGATTCCACACTTGCTAGGTGGGAGACTAGGCAAGTTACTTAACCTCTTTGAGATTCGTGATTCCTAGCCTGTGAGACATGGAAGGATAGCAGTGCCCAGCTCAAAGAGGTGGTGGGAAGGTTAATACGGATCAATGCATGTAAGGTACTTAGACATTTAGTTGGCACTCGATAAATACCACCAATTGAAACCATTACTTCACAGTGCAAACAGCATCGCCACAGACGTTCTGTCTGACTGAATTCAACTTGACCATTTAGATTGAATAACAATGCTGTCATAAGGTAGTAGTGGGTGTCCCAAATCACCACAAGGAAACTTTGCCTTAGAGCAGCGGTTCTCAACCTGTGGGTCAAGACCCTTTTGGGGGTCCAATAACCTTTTCACAGTGGTTGCCTGATTCATAATGGTAGCAAAATTATAGTTATGAAGTAGCAATGAAAATAATTTTATGGTTGGGGGGGGTCACCACACTATGAGGAACTGTATTAAAGGGTCGCGGCATGAGGAAGGTTGAGAACCACTGCTTTAGAGCACAGCCCCCTACTGTTAGTCTGACCCCCCAAAGTGGGCAACTGGAAGTGGGAGGCAAAGGGAAGAAGGACCAGAGCACCAATGACACCAATGACTCTAGTTTAGGGGTGCTGGCCAGTGACGGAGAGGAGGAGGCGGGGCATGAGGCTGGAAGCATGCATTTAACGAGCACAGACTCACAGACACAAAGCACAAACGCATGGAATGGCTACCTCAACTGGTAAAAAAAGCCAAATAGGCAGGGTTGAATCCAAACGCCAGTCTACAAGCCTCAAGGGATGCTCTTGGTGGGACCCACCATGCCAACTCTATGAAGCCCCTCACCGATGTCTCTGATTGTTGTAAGTCAACTCAAGGCAACTGTTTATAAAGGGACAGAATGCTTCCCCATCCTCACCATCCCCATGATCTGTTACAAATTGGACTGTTTGGGATCCATCAGGTTTTTATTGGTGGAAATTGGGACTTAGTTGCCATGCTGCCCTGTCCTTGTCTGGAAGTGGCACGAAAATGCATTCAGCATCATGGCAACCGATGAGCCTCCACTGAAAGACAAGGTGTGGCTCCTCATGAGGCACCCTGGCTGGGAATCTAACCCAGGTCTCTACCACAGACCCAGCACTGGGTTCAGACTGCCATTTAAAACTTAAGCCACTGCCCCGGAGTCAGTCCCAACTCAGAACGACCCTGTAAGACAAAGTCCAACTGCTCGATACAGTTCCCAAGACTACAGATCTTTACTAGAGTGGGCAGCCTCATCTTTCTGCACACCGAGTGAGGGTAATGGGTTCGAATTGCTGACCTGTCAGTGAACAGCCCAATGTCCCTAGTGTACCTTGGGGTCTGATTTCAGGTCCGAGAAGTCTCCATTTCCAGTTCAGCAGAACACAGGATGACACCTGTGTAGAGACATCTACTCCTTGCCCAAAGAGCCAGGTGAAGCATTCACATAACTTGATCATTGTGCTTCTGTGTCTCTCCTATTAGTTTATCATACTGTCTTGCTGGTAGGTCATGTCTTATGAACTCTTTGATTGATTTTTCTTGTCTTTTTTTTGGTCATGGTAACTTTTAGACTGTGGTGCAGAGCTTGGTGCATGGTAGATGCTCAATACACATCTGAGGAATGTCTTCATAAATGGCTAAGCATTCTTGAGATGACATCTTGGTGGACCGGTATGCTTGCTGCTGACCCGGGAAGGCAGAGTGTGTTGTTAATGAGCATTGCTGTTGCTGGAAGAGTCCAGGGGATCGATGTTGGACTCATAGAGAGCCCATGTGGTAGAGTAGAATCCCCCCCACTTCCAATACACACACTCCGTGTTTCTGAGGCTGTACGCTTTACAGAACAGATCGCCTGGGCTTTCTCCTCTAGAGTTGCTAGGTGGGTCCACACCACTAACCATTAGCAGCTGTGCTTAACGGTTGCACTACCAGGGCTCCTTATTAACAAGTGTGGCCCTTGATTCCTCTGCTCTCTGAGGGTCATCTCAGAAGACTGGAAGCCTGAGGGAGAGTGAACCTCGAAGTTCTGTACAGCTGTTTCATGTTGAAAAATCCTAGTCATCTTGAAGGGCACAGTCGGGGTGGGTGGAAAGGTTCCCAAAGGGAACTGCTGACCTACAGCTTGGCATGTTGCTCAGAGGCTTTGAGAATGAAGTCTAGGAATCAGGTCTCCCTCTGTGCTCCAAAGCAACACTGCAGTGAGTGAATGGTAACCCAGGCTTTGGTTGCCATGATTCAATGACAGCCGCCTTTCCACCAAGGCAATGCACCTGACCTCAAGGCAGAGACAGGACTCCTCACTCTCTAGCAATTGTGCAGGCAGCCCTCTATTCCTCAAGGCTCTTGCTAAGAGGTACGGCCTTCCACATCGCCTCAGGCTTGGTGGCCAGAGTTGAGAGCTGGGTGCAGTTGAGTGACTGGGAGCAGACTGGGGAAGATTCTCAGCATTTCCATCAAGAGGAAGTCTGTAAGTCTCTTCAGGCTTCACCAACCACCCAACCACTAACAGTTCCACAATGACACCTCAAGGACATTGGTTCCAGCAACATTACACCTTTTCAGAGTGACCCGATGTAGCACAGAACGAAATATTGTCCAGTCATGAGCCATCTTCACCATCATTGTTATGTTTGATCCTGTTGTTGTAGCCACTGGGTCAATCCATCTTTTTGAGGATCTTCTTCTTCACCAGCCTTATACTTTACCAAGCATGGCGTCTTTTCCCATGGACTGGTCTCCCCTGACAGCATGTGCAAGTACATGAGTCAAAGTCTCGCCATCCTTGCTTTTCCAGAGCAACCTGGCTGTGTTTCTTCCAGGAGAGATTTGTTGGTTCTTTCGGCATCCATGGTATTTTCAATATTCCTTGCCAACACCGTATTTGAAACGCATCAAGGCTTTTGCGGTCCTCCTTATTCATCCCCCAACTGAAGATCGTATGATAACATGCCAAGATCTGAGCTTTCTTGCAAAATGCTTGAAGGATTCAAAGCCCTTTTTAGAAAGATCTTAGTTCTATTCATTGTATCCAAGTTCAGATACTATCTTTGTTGCCTAGGTTAAACTCTAATCTGGTGGTCTGCTGCCTCCTGGTTCCATCTTGGTTTGGGGATGAATGGTGGATTGATGGGGGTGGGAGTGGGGGGCAGGAATGAGAGACGAACTACAACAAATAGAAAAGGCCTAACAAAACCCTTACATTCAACCAGCATTGGGGTTTCTAGAAGAAAATCCTGATTTCTTACTGTATCAAGTCCCTCAGCCCTCAGCCCTTTTTTCACTAACATATCTTTCTCATCATGTTGATGTTTGGCAGTGGTCATGAAAGAACTGAACTGAAGAGAATCATGAACCAGACTCTGCTCTTGTCAGGTTATTTGTGACACCCCCACACCCCGTTTTAAGCGCTTCAACACATGCAGAAGACGTCTAGTCAGAATCAACCAAACACCATGCTCCCTAAGAAACAGGGGCCTGAGGGGGATGGGGCGGAGTCTTTGTTGTGGGCTGGTTTCTTCTCTGCAGCCCCAGACCTGTTCTGCTTGCTCCGCTTTGCTATCTAGAAGTTTCTCTCTGTGGGTTGTGCCATTTGTTTCACTTGTTTAACTCCTGTCTCCTCCCCACCTTGATGGAGATCTTTGCTCCAATTCTAGAAAGCAACTTCAAGAGCTATATACTCGTGGCTAAGACCTCGGAGAGGGTGGAAGGGAAGAAACAAGAAAAATCATAACAGGTTCAGATTTCAGCAGCCATGCTGCCTTAAAGAGGTAGGCTTCTCACCATTGTAAATTAGAGAATTAGAAACTCAGAAGAGATTGTTCTGGATTCTGAATTGCTCTTCTTCAAGCCAACTTCTCCTTGAACTAGACCTAAGTGACACTAACCCACCAATGCCTTCCTTCTTTGAACTGTAGTTTCTTAGTGCAGGTAGAAAACACTGAAATGGAATTCTAAAGACCTGAGTTCTATTCTTGGCTCCTGCAGTCTTGGGTATCATCTAGTTTTGGGCCTGTTTTCTGTTCTAAAACAAAAGGGCTAATTAAAAAAGGGGAGAAAGCACTTGCTCTCCCATGTCAACTCTGACCAGGAGGTGGCAACCCAGGAAGTCAGTGTGGAGGATCGATCTGAAGTCATATCTGACATCAGCAAGGATGAACACTGTGATCGATTAGTAATGTCTGACACTGGCATAAGCATGGGTGTTATCTAGCATACACCAAGTCTCTATCATCCCTGGGCATTTTGTTCCGACCTGTCCTCCCTGGTCTGGCACTGGAGAATGCCTCACTGCATTTTCCCACACAAGTAGGTCTTTATTACCCGTTTACTACTCACTCATGTGTCATTCGCATATTTCTTCTCACAGCTTCATGGATATTCATCTTGCTTCCCTAACTAGACTGTAGACTCTTGGAGGGGGTGAGGGGCATGTCTAGAATGGCACTGAGTTCACAAAACCACAAACACACCAATGGACTGATCATCAGAGGAGGAGCTGTGATGGATTACTGCGCTGACCTGGCTAGGCTATAGCATCTAGTTGCTGAGTCAAATGCTCGCCAAGATGTTACTTTGAGGCTATTTCCATGCTCATCCAACCACACAGAGGTCTTAAGAGCAAAGCAGACAATTTCTGGGGAAGAAGGATGCTCTTTCAAGACAGTAAATAGATGAGACTGCTGGAGTTTTCAGCTTAGCATCCAACATAAAACATTTTAGATCTGATTGCCTGCACAATCATGAGTCAATTCCACCAAATCTTTCTCTCTATGAATATATATGCATTTGAATACACACATACACATATCTATCCAGATACACATATATACCTCTGTCTATATCTCAAAGAATTTCACTGCCACCCAGTCAAATGTGACTCACAGGATCCCTATGGAACAGGGTAGACCTGCCCCTTGTGGGTTTCCAACACTGTAAATCTTTTTTGTTTTTTGAAATGTCCTCTTGTGCCTTTAAGAGCCAGCCCTGTCCTTAGGACAGCCCTCTTAAACTGAGAGGAAGGACTCTAAATCTTTACAGGAGCAGACAGCTTCCTCTTTCTCTCAAGGAGTGGCTGGTGGCTTTGATCTGCTGACCTTGT